AGTGTAAGTCCTACTTTTGTTTAGTTGACAAAAAACTTTTTGGTTTTGGAATAATATGGCATTTAGAACCAAAAATATAATTATCTTGCTGTGATTCTAGTCATCACTGCTATATTAAAAATATATTAAAAATTCACACAGTGCTACACCTGCGGCTGGGACAAGATTACATCTAGAAAAGGCAAGGTTGGAGCCTACATTTAGCAGTATTCTAAACTTAGCATCAGCAGACGATGGTCCATGATGATATGATGGGTTTACCACAGTAATCATGTCTCATAAATAGGTTATATTAAAATCACAACTGGGGTTCTTGCTCAATCAGTTAAGTGATTGTATTTTAACAAGGGGAATAGAATAGAATGGAAAATAGTAAAGTGAACTGTGTATAATAAAAGTGATAATGTTTAACTGATAATTGGGTCATGACATAAATGATATTTCTCACTGTGTGTAGCAGTAAACACTTTATAGTCACTCCACTATATCCTCATCTGTAAAAGATTACATGTATATTAAATAGCTACAGTGTATGTGGCATTGTTAGTTGCCCCAGCACATGTTATAAGAAAAATAAAACTCAAGCCTGTCCCTCAAGGAATTTAGGATATAATGTAAGAAAATTCATGTATACAAACAAAGTTTAAAAATGCCTTGTGATAGGGCCATAGTAATAATAGAACTTAGAGTACTCAGAGAAAATTCATAATGGAGGTGGCATTTGAGTGAGTTTTCATTTTTTGTTTTGGTGTTTTCTTGACTGTGCCACATGGCATGCTGGACCAGGGATCAAACTCAGGTCCCCTGTCATGGAAGCATGGAGTTCTAACCACTGGGCTGCCAGGGAAGTCCCTTGAGTGAGTTTTGAATCATATAGGATTTTATCTGCTCAAGAGGTGATCAGAGTGATGAGTATTAGCATGAAAAAATAAATGTGTACAATGTGATAGTAAGCAGAGAATAATCTACTTTTTAAAAAAAATAATTGAGTACATGCAGATCAGAGAAGAAAGGAAGAGTAAATATTAAACTTAGACATTGACTAGATGCTGAAGCTGAAACTCCAGTACTTTGGCCACCTGATGCAAAGAACTGACCTTGGAAAAGACCCTGATTCTTGGAAAGATTAAAGGTGGGAGAAGGGGACAACAGAGGATGAGATGGTTGGATGGCATCACTGACTCAATGGACGTGTGTTTGGGTGGACTCCTGCAGTTGGTGATGGACAGGGAGGCCTGGCGTGCTGCAATCCATGGGGTTGCAAAGGGTCGGACACAACTGAGCGACTGAATTGACTGACTGAAACCGTAGTTAAGTTAGTAACCACTAAGGATAATAGTGATATCATCAAAGTGATATTTTAGAAATAGTAATCTTAAATAGTGTTGTCTATCTTGGAAGGGGTTAAAGTGGTGGTTGGTAGTCTAGACGGGACCAGAGAAAGACTGTAAGTATGGATGAATAAAGAGAGATGAGAAGAATGGGAAAGAAATGGAGAGACAGGTCTAAGACATTGACCAAAGCAAGTGTGCCGTCAATGAGGCATGCGTTTGAATGTCAGAGCAAAGGAGAATGAGTTAGAGGCAGTCCCCAAGTTTTTTATTAGGGTGATTAATGATATATGGTTCTTTTACTAGGAAGAAGGAATAAGAAGAGAAAGATAGAGAAGATGATGGGCTGTGTTTTGGAAAGAGTAAGTTCATGATGCTGACAGGTATAAAGAACCTAAAGGGAATAAGGAACTATACATCAGGAGAGAGCTTTGCGAATTATGTGGGGGGTGATAGTTGTAATAGCATGGCAGTGAATGTTATCCTCAGGGACAGCCTGTAGAGAAGGTGGCAGAAAAGGACAAACTTTGGGGAACCTCTCTTTTCTCCATTTAAGAAGTAGAAGTGAAATGAAGTCATTAGAAACAGCCTAAATATCCTGAGGGTAGATGAGATAGCAGAGTATTGAAAACCTAGGGAAGAGAAAGTTTCAAGGACAAATAGTTGAGCAATACTATGTGTAACAAAGTGGTTAACGAAAGTTGATGAGGGGCATATCTTTTTCCATAGCAGTCTGTTTGGTGACACTACAAGTAATACTACTGAAATGTCGGGAGGGAGGAAAGACATGTAAAGCAGAGTATAAGAAATAAAAGGATTAGGCAGGGCGAAATAAGGGAATACACAGAAATTTTAAGGAAAGGAGGTAGTTGGATGGGCTGGTTCATAATGGAAGGCTTTATCAATAAAATTAGACTGAAACAGAGCTTGTTCCGTTTAAGATGAATTGAGGTTGTGAATGTGGCCAGTGCAGTAGTGGCTATCCAGATTGGCACAAGTCACATAACTTAAAAATGATGATGGAGCAATAGTGAAGGGAGAATTGAGGTGAGGCCCGCTGAGCGCAGTGCAGTGACTTTCTGTAGGGTCTCATGATACTATTGCAGACTTGAGAAAGCAGAGTAGAAATGATTTATAGTGTTATTTACCAAGTATCACAGAGGCCAGGGGGCCCAAGGGTTGAAAAGAATATCATGAGAACCAGGTAAGAAAGAGATGTAAGACAGTAAAGAGGATAAAGTTCAAGAGCTGAAGGTAGATTAGAAAATAGTTATCTGTCTGGAGTCATTGATGTTAAATAGCAACAGTTTATCTCATTTGATGCTGCTTGTTTAGTTGAGTCATATTTGGAAAGTCACTGACCACGAAGGGGCTTTTCAAAGAATTCACAAGTACTATCTATCGCCAGTTTTTGCTGCTTAGCCCTAAAATAACAATAGAGTTGTAAAACATTTTGTAAGTCATAGTTTGTTCTATGAATGTTAGTGTAGTGTTTTGCCTCCCAAAATGATACCATGGATTCTTTCATTCATGATATATGTTCATTTTAAACTCAAAAATGATGAGTACATGCCTAAAAACCCCAATCTATAATTTATCTTAGTAAATTTTTATAAATCTGTTATCTGGATTCTTATTTAAACTCTTAAATTCTGTTTATTTTTGCTTCTTAAGGTAACGAGGTAGAATAAGCAAATCTGAATGTTCAGTAGCTGTATTTCCCAGAATGTGCTAGGTAGACATCAGTCCCATGAGATGGTACAAAATAAAGGAGGGTTGTGTGTGTAATATGATCAGAAAACTTGAGGAAAACAAGTCGTTATGTTACCATTTGGAATATTCAAAATGCTTATTAGCATATCAAAGCTACTAGAAGACCTGCAGGAAAGAAGGGTAACTTTTTCTAAATCTTTTATTTCTCTAACTTATCTGACCTGCAAGGACCACTACCACCGTCACCATCACCCTGTTACAGTTTTATGTAAAACTAATATCTTTTGGAACACACTTTGGGAATATTGCTACATTTGAGATTGTATTCAGAAGTAATCTAAACAGTTTAAGAATGAATTCTGTGAGTACTTATGAAATAGAATAACAGAACAGATGAAGAATATGAGATCATATATATTATGGATAATGACCATAGATACACAAAAGCAAATGTGTCAGGGCAAAAGGAAGCAGGAGTTGGACTGTGAAGAAGGCTGAGCGCTGAAGAATTGGTGCTTTTGAATTGTGGTGTTAGAGAAGACTCTTGAGAATCCCTTGGACTGCAGGGAGATCCAACCAGTCCATCCTTAAGGAGATCAGTCCTGGGTGTTCATTAGAAGGACTGATGCTGAAGCTGAAACTCCAATACTTTGGCCACCTCATGCGAAGAGTTGACTCATTGGAAAAGACCCTGATGCTGTGAAGGATTGGAGGCAGGAGGAGAAGGGGACGACAGAGGATGAGTTGGCTGGATGGCATCACCGGCTCGATGAGTGAATTGTTACCCCAGATTATTTAATATTCTCTTTTATCTAATGAAACAACTCCAAAATAAGAAACTGAATCTTGTTATTGGAATGCAAAAGCCTAAGACTCATCAAAAAAGGAATTTTATGTTAGCTTTCATAATTAGTATCTAATGTATAACTTTTCTCTTGTATTTTGATATTGACAGTTTCTTCCCTGTGATTGCTTTGTTGCTGTCGTTGTCACTCAATCATGTCCACCTCTTTGTGGCCCCACGTACTGCATCACATCAGGCTTCCCTGTCCTTCACTGTCTCCCAGAGTTTATTCAAACTCATGTTCATGAGTCCATGACGCCATCCAACCATCTCATCCTCTGTCACCCCCTTTTCCTCTTGCTCTCAATCTTTTCCAGCATCAAGGTCTTTTACAGTGAGTCAGCTCTTCGCATCAGGTGGCCAAAGTGTTGGAGCTTCAACTTAGCATCATTCCTTCCAGTGAATATTCAAGGACTGATTTCCTTTAGGATTGACTGGTTTGATCTCCTGGCTGTCCAAGGGACTCTCAAGTGTCTTCTCCAACACCACAGTTCGAAAGGATCAATTTTTTGGCTCTCAGCCTTCTTTATAGTCCAGCTCTCACATCTGTACATAACTACTGGAAAAACAATAGCTTTGACTAGACCTGACTTTTGTCAGTAAAATGATGTCTCTGCTTTGTAATATGCTATCTAGGTTTGTCATAGCTTTTATTTCAAGAAACAAGTATCTTTTAATTTCATAGCTTCAGTCACCATCTACAGTGATTTAAGAGCCCAAGAAAGTAAAATCTGTCACTGTTTCTACTTTTTCCCCATTTGTTTGCCATGAAGTGATGTGACAAGAGGCCATGATCTTAGTTTTCTGAATGTTGAGTTTTAAGCCAAATTTTCACTCTCCTCTCTCACCCTCATTAAGAGGCTCTTTAGTTCCTCTTTGTTATTTGTCATTAGGGTGGTGTCATCTTCCTATCTGAGGTTATTGATACTTTTCCCGACAGTCTTGATTCCAACTTGTGATTCATCCAGCCTGGCATTTTTCATGATGTACTCTGCATATATATTAAATAAGCAGTGTAGCAATATACAACCTTGACATACTTCTTTCCCAATTTTAAACCACTCCATTGTTCCGTGTCTTATTCTAACTCTCCCTTCTTATCTTGCATACAGATTTCTCAAGAGACAGGTGATTCCTTAGAAACAGATGAAACGGAAAAGCTTAAGCGTGAAAGAAATGACGCCTTGGAAGAAGTGAATGCACTTAAGGTAATCTCCAATTTAGCTACCTTATATTTTCTTTTGTATAAAGAAAAGAAAGAATATTATCATGTGTTGAATTCTGGAGTATCGAGACTTAGTTGTTGTTTTTGTTTTTTTTAAAAATATCAATATCAGATAGTTTAGGATATTAATATCGAATTAATATTTGTTTCCTCAGCTGACCTTTTTTTTTTGTGTGTGTGGTTTTTGTCATACATTGAAATGAATTAGCCATGGATTTACATGTATTCCCCGTCCAGGTCCCCCCTCCCACCTCCCTCTCCACCCTATCCCTCTGGGTCTTCCCAGTGCACCAGGCCCGAGCACTTGTCTCAGGCATCCAACCTGGGCTGGTGATCTGTTTCACCCTTGATAATATACATGTTTCAATGCTGTTCTCTTGAAACATCCCACCCTCGCCTTCTCCCACAGAGCCCAAAAGTCTGTTCTACACATCTGAGTCTCTTTTTCTGTTTTGCATATAGGGTTATCGTTACCATCTTTCTAAATTCCATATATATGTGTTAGTATACTGTAATGGTCTTTATCTTTCTGGCTTACTTCACTCTGTATAATGGGCTCCAGTTTCATCCATCTCATTAGAACTGATTCAAATGAATTCTTTTTAATGGCTGAGTAATATTCCATGGTGTATATGTACCACAGCTTCCTCATCCATT